CTCATTCTTACTCATTCTTTATCTTATCCTTATTTAGTTTACGTCATTAGTATCATTCTAATTTTTAACCTACGTAGATCTTAGAGTAACATGCGATTAGACCATACGAGCGTGTTCCCTTTTCTTTCCTACCTAAGGTGATGGTCTTGAGAGGCCACTTCAACGTAACCCTAACAAGTAGGTGAGCTCACGGGGCTCAAACCTCACGTCGTCGTAACAATAACCCTAGCAAGAGTCGTGCTTCGCAGAATCTCCCGCCGGATCGGAATCGGGACCCACTGAGAAGATCCGCCGAAAAACTCAGTGGGCTGTGTCTGTGGGCTAATTTACTCGCCGAGCCCTTCGTCGCAAGCAACGGGTTCGACAAGAACGATGACCGGATTTCCCCCTTGTTCCCTTGCTTACTGCCCTTACAATAGATCTAAACTTTGTGTGTAAGTATTTTTTTTATTTTAGTTTTTATTGCTTGTATGGGTGGACGAGCTCACAGCCCGCCTGGTGTTAAGTGGTTACTGGAGCCCATAGACATCTACAACGTAAATGCCGCCACCCACCTGGAGATATGATTTCTAAGGTTCAGTATAGTTATAACGGCTTCCCCAACCATCAAACCGAAACGCATTACTGCTTCGCGGCAGAAATATGCGGGGTGGTGGTATCTACCCGTGCGGATTCACAAGAGGTCTTACCACCAGTAAAAAATCTATCTATCTAGTATCTATAGTTGACCTTGGTCTTCATCAGCGTCAAAACATGTCGCAGATTGAAATAAGCGACTCTTTATACCGGCCAAAATGTAAGATAATCAATGGTTTTTAATACGCTTTTATTATTAGCTTCAGACGTATGTATCTTCCGAATTTTTTCACGCTTTTTTACAATAAAATCATTTTTCTTACACTATTTTTAATTGAAATTTATTAAATTTATTTTCTATTTTTTAGTTACATTTTCTATGAAAGCGTATTTTGTTAGTTTTTTTAAACTATTATTTATTTTTTTATAGTCATAGCCATAATGAATTTTTACTAATGACTCTTTAAAAATTAGCGATTAATCAAATTACGCGTGTACTTATAATAATTTTATTATTTTGTATTTATTATTTTATTAATGGTAGGCAGCGACTTGGCTGTGCCCCTGGCATTGCTGACATCCATGAGCGACGGTAACCAGTTACCGTCAGATAGGCCGTATGCTCGCCTGTAAAGGCAATAGAAAAATATTTGAATTTTAAATTATTTTTTGTTCGTAAACTGTATCTACATTGCCTTTGATCTACAAAATTTTTTAAACATTAAATGTAAACTTAAAAATTTAACCTAGTAACATACGACTGACCTTCCTATTACAAAACTCCCCAAACTGTGTCAGAATGGTAGATAAAACCGTCGGATATTTTTATCTGACATATTAGTTAATTGTGTCAAAATCTAATTTGTCTCTCTGCGTCTGGGTGGTTAATTTAAGTAGGTATCTATAAATTAATACGTGAAGCAAAAACTTTGTATCCCTTTTTACGAAAATTGCGCCGACGGAAGAGTATGAAATTTTCCATACTTATTGTATTGAATTTAGATATGCTTGGGACTGGGAAAAGGATAAGTTTTAGGACTCACTCTGTTGCTCGTTGATGCACTATTCTATTTTCTCACTGGCGAGAGTTATATTATTATGTGCTGATTGATCAACAAATCACAAGAGAACTAGCGTCCCGCCTTCGGTTCGCTTCGTGAACTGCAATTTATTATTGATTTTATTGAATTTTCTTTTAATAGAAATCTGGTTCTAACAGTAACAAAAACAATAAAAAAAGAACGTAACAGACTAAAAATTTAATCTTCTTATAGTACTCATGGTTATTTATGTTGGAGATAATGGCTTACAATTAAAAGATAGGTAGTTATATGCTGTCACGGGCTTTTTTGTAGGACAATTTAAGATAAACATTTCCATTTTACATTAAATACGTGTGACTCCAACGGTTTTTGCGGCCACACAAAAATAGCCGGCAGATGACAGATTTTTTCCATCTTATTTGACACTTAAGGTTATATTTTGGATAATTCACACTATATTGCCCGCACGGGTAGGTACCACGACCCCAAATATTTTTGCCGTGCTGCAGCAACGCGTTTCGGATTGAAGGATGGGGTAGTCGTTGTAACTACACTGAGACATTACAACTCATATCTCAAGGTGGGTACTTACGTTGTTGATTCCTATGTGCTCCGATAATCGCTTAATTGCTCTATTAACTCGTACACCAATCTGAGCAACTAAAAATATTAAACTGCAGGCTTAGTAATTAAATTTGAAAACTCAACATCATTTTGCGCTAACCATTGAGCTTATTATCAATAATTCGTAATATTCAGTGATTAGATGTGTACCCACCGCCTAATTGTGTCCTGTAGTACGGAGTCAAATAAAATCTCATTTTTTTAGGTAGGTACGTAAGCTCACGGGCCCGACCTGACAGAATTTGCGAACACTAGCCCTAGCAAGAGCAGTGATTCGCAGAATCTACCACCGGATCGGAAACGCGACCCACTGAGAAGATCCGGCGAGAAATTCAGTGGGCTGTGTCTATGGGTCAATTCGTTCGTGGAACTCTTCGTCGTAATCGACGAGCTCGATGAAGATGTAGACGAAGACGATTAGAAGGACGGTCAAGAAGTAACTCCACTGTTTAAGCAAAATATCCCCACAGCAAAAGACCGCGCAAATCAATTGCAGATTCAAATTTAACAGGCGCTTTCTTTCGAAAGACACTTTTTGAACAGTCTTCTTCTTTTCTTTTTTTTCTCCATCTTATCTCACTAGATGGGGTCGGCACAGCTAATTTTTCTCTTCCATTCTCTTCTATCAGCCGTCATCTCAACACTCACTCCTCTCTCTCTCATATCTACATTAACACACTCCATCCATGTCTTCTTCGGTCGACCTCTTCCCCCTCTACCTTGCACTACCATTTCCATACATCTCCTAGTCACATGCATCTCCTCTCTAGGCATCACATGTCCACACCACGCTAACCGTCCGCTCTTTAATTTCTCTTTAACTTTTTGAACAGTATGTTTTATTTATTTATTTTTTATTACTTAGGTGGGTGGACAATCACACGGCCCACCTAGTGTTAAGTGGTTACCGGGCCCCAAAAACATCTACAGCGTAAATGCTGCCACCTACCTTGAGATATGAGTTCTAACTTCTCAGTATAGTTACATGTCGGTCTGATCGTTTGTCGAGTCCTCAATAAGAAGCCGTATTTTATTTATTTATTATTGAGTAGATAGATGAATAAACTAACAGTTCTTCTAATGTAAAGTGGTGAAGAAATCTCAATTGTATAGTACAGACCCATAGACAAAACCCATTGAGATTCTCGCTAGATCATTACAGTGGGTCGCGATTCCGATCTGGTCGTAAGTTCTGCGAAGGGCTGCTCTTGCTAGAGTTAGCTTTAGCGAATCCCCTCAGGTCGAGCCTCTGAGCTAACCTACAGGTCCGCAAGAAACTGGAATAAGCCCTTAGGAATCAAGAAATCATAGATGCTATTATTATTATCGAGAATGACAGAAATGCGAAATTGGTTTTTCGATCAGTAGGGATCGGACTAGTTTGTTTTGGAAATAGGTGTAAGTTAAGATGATTATTTCGTTTTGCTGAAAGGTTTGTTTTTGAATCACGCTCGAAGGACCATACAATCAGTCGTTTTTAAATCACTCTAAAAAAATTAAAGGTTTCTTTTTATCTGTGGCTTCGTTTTCTTTTGGGACGCCTGCCAAATGAGCCTGGCATTCCCTCCTTTAATAGTTTCATTAAATGAATAATAAAAAATAGTATCAAAGTCGGAAATATGCAAAATGGTAATAAATAAGAATAATGAAATGGTAACAAGTGTGTCATACTGACATCTAAGTTGAAATAAATGATTTTGAATACTGTTATAGAATGGTTATTGGTGAAATAAAATATTAACTTAATCTGTTATCTATCTAAGATGTCATTCAAAAGAGTTTTGTGACTGCCAATGGAATACAAAGTAAATGATTCGTTTTTTTCTGATTTAGCAATAATTGTCAAAAAGTCACATTGCCGGCTTTGATAATAGTCGACTCAATTTTCAAAATTTCCGATGTTAAAACAAAACACATTTTTATTTATCTAATAACGTTTATTATAATTTTTACAAGTACTTTCGAATAAAATATGCAATAAAATAAAATTTAATTACAATGCTAATTTAACATTAACCATGACATATCTTTGGCGTTAAAAAAACAATACTTATTACAATTAGTACAGTGCTGTGTTGATGATGGAAATAATACGGGGACTGATCAATTCGGTGAACTTTTAGGATTTTATTTCACCTTTTTTGACTCGGTATCATGTGATAAGTACGTATATCAGTCTCCAGTTCCCATAGTACTCCTATCCTAGGAATCCTAGTTTGGGCCCGGATAACCGGTAGTAGCTCATACCCGGCTAATTTAAATTTAATTGCATTGTTTAGATAGGTTACCGAGCTCACGGCCCACCTGGTGTTAAGTGGTTACCGGAGCCCATAGACATGAACAACGTAAATGTTGCCACCCACCTTGAGATATGAGTTCTAAGGTCTCATTTTTTTCAGTACAACGGCTGCCGCGCCCTTCGAAACTAAATGCATTACTGCTTCACGGCAGATATAGGCAGATTGGTGGTACCTACCCGTGCACGCTCACAATACGTCATACCGTCATTATAATATTATTATTATTACGAATACCTAAATTATATCATTCATCAATACTAACTCAATTCGCCACAGGGAATTAATAACAAAATATTTTTATTAAATCTCTCACGTAAACTAGAAACACATCCTCAGCTACAAAAATTGGTTTCAAAGGGTGAACAAACCCCTGTAACAACCCCCTCACTTAGGTGCGTAGAAACACACTGAATCAAATTGCAGTAAAACTGTTAAGACACTTTTTTTTTTAATTCCATTACGAAGGTATAGTAAGTCCCAATTTGGTTGCAGTTTTCCTAATCCAAGGTATGTAGCTGGCGACCCTCGTGTAGACCCCGGGGCGGGCCCTGCGCGCGCATCCCGCCCCCCAAGACACGACCCCCTGAAGCGCCCAGCCAGCCTGACTTCCCACCTGTCCGTCAGCCCGGCCCCCCGAGCGACACGCCAGCGGACCCCCCGAGTCCCCACGACAAGCATCCACGCCCCCCGACAGAATACCTGCGTAATTTATATTATCATTAAAAATGATGTTCTAATATCATAGCTAAGTCCCGTGGACATCTATCATTGGGACGGATTGTGACGTAAGCGACAGATTTGCCCTTGAGTTTAGTGAATTCTCGGAGACTAGTACTCAGGCTAGTTGTACCAAAAGGATCATATAGCCTTGGGCTATCTAAATCTCATAGTTTGGTATTTTCGAATAGGGAGCACCTTTTGAAATAACTGGGACAAATTACATGCAGTTAAGCAAGAGAAGGCGCGAGAAAACCATCTTTCATTCGCCAATAGTGGAGTAAAGTATGCCTTATTGTACACCAATATAAAATAAACACAGAACATACAATGGTCAGTCTAATCGCTAATAGAGATCTCTTCCAGACAATCACCAGGTTGACAAGAATCATCTAAGAAAAATATAAACGTGGCATACTTTTAAATTCAACAGCAAAGCTAAACAGTAGTGATGGTTGTATCAGAAATTCATTTATCAAATACCCCCCATCCAGCTGGGTACAGTAAAATAGTCTTACCGGCACAGATCATGGAGTCCAAAATCGGTTGCTGTCTTCCACCCAGCACGTGGCTTTGCCTACACGTGGCCAAGTCCAGAACCGGCACCGAAGCAGCCCTGAGTACCGGAGCGAAGGTCTCTGTACCTTCTGTAATTAAGTGTTATCATCCCTAAATAGCTAGATGTAAAAAACCAGATCAGGTAGAAGTTCGGACATGTGGTCTAGCAAAACGAATTGCAGAAAAGAGGTGATAGAAGCCACATGACTTTGATTGTGTGATCAAACATAAAGAGACTTGGCTTACTTGAAAAATGTGAGCTTACGGTCCACATGAATTTGGGTGGTTATAAAAAACATGGCATGGTATTTGTAATGATTAGCGGCAGAAATGCACAGGGTAGTGGCATCTAGCCATGTAAACAGCCAATATAGGTACTTACTCTACCATTAATAAGCATAAAGCACTTAGAATTTGGGTATTTATTTGGGAGAATACAGCAGAAGTGGACGGGAACTTCAAATAGAGGAGCCATCATAAAACATTTGGCTTTGGAGTCACTGATTCTTGTCTCGTCTAAGGTTTCTGGTAACAACACAGAAAACAATTCTAACATGAAGCGATGTGGATTACAAGCATCTTGTTCAACCATCATCGTAAAATGTCTTCGGATGAGAACTGAAAAAAGTATCTTAAAAGTACAAGATATTTTTGTTGAGAATTGACGGTACATAGTTGTGGGTTTGAATTTTAACTTACCTGCCTGATAGCCCCACCCGCTGACGGCGCACCACTGGCCAGCAGTCTCCTCGCTGGAGGGTAGGCAGATTGGCCTCACATGAGAATTGAACTGCACTCCGCTACCCGACTTAGACACCAATATGATTGCTATGTCATTGCTGTGTGGACCGTCTGGAAGATGGAGGAATACAGGAATACCACCACACCGAAATCAGCATTCACGGTTTTCTATTGGTATTTTCCTGACTCGGTGGTGCAATATTTAGCGCCTCTGACTGCTGTGCCAAGGGTCATGGGTTCGATTCCCACATCGGGCAGACATTCGTGTGATGACTAGGTTTGTTTGCTCTTTGTCTGTGTGTTTATTATCCATATATTTAAACTTAGCCAAGTATTTATGTCAGTCTTTGATGTCCATAATACAAAGAATCCTAATTTGCGACCTGATGACCGTGCGTGATTTGTTCCCAGTTATTTATATTTTTTATTACATGATGACACAAGATCAAACTGTAAATGTACTCTTGAGATATTACGATGATCTTGCTGCTCATGGACATCAGCAAGAAAGTACAGCCAAGCCGCTGTATATATAGAAAACAGCTTTGCAACATAATTCGATGATGACATAGCACACCATTGGGGCTATAACCAAAACTCACTTTTCCTAAAGTCGGGATGCGGAACCACCTTCTCAGCGAAGAACTGGTGCTCGTGTTTGTCCTGGATCTTCAGCCGGTGCTCGCCTACCACTAGTCTTATGTGGTCTAATTGTAGTGGTTGCTGTGAGGAGTTAATCAGAGTATTTACTGGTGGAAACCGAAAAACCTTTACAGGAGTAATTTTGTTGCACCATCTAATAGATTATAGGAGCCCATAGACCTCACTCATCTGACCCTTGAGATATCCGGTTTCAATTGGGGGAGAGGTCGGTGATGCCTACCCGTGTGGGCTCTTATTTTTTTATTTTTTTATTGCTTAGATGGGTGTACGAGCTTACAGCCCACCTGGTGTTCAGTGGTTACCGGAGCCCATAAACATCTACAACGGAAATGTGCCACCCACCTTGAGTATATAAGTTCTAAGGTGTAGGTTCAGTGTAGTTACAACGGTTGCCCCTTCAAACCAAAACGCATTACTGCTTCACGGCAGAAATAAGCAGAGTGGTGGTACCTACCCGTGCAGACTCACAAGAGGTTCTACCACCAGTAATTACGCAAATTATGATTTTGCGGGCTTGATTTTTATTAGGTACACGATGTTATTCCTTCACCGTGGAAGTCAATCGTGAATACTGGTTAAGTACGTATTTCATTACAAAAATTGGTACCCGCCTGCGGGATTCGAACACCGTTACATCGAATGCACCAGAATACATCCTTTAGACCAAGACGACTACATACGCTGCACAAACGTAATTAGAGTTCAAAATTGCGATTACGATTTATTACAGGATATGTTGACCTCAAATTTTGAAGTCGTTCGAAAAAATTCATATCAGGTGGATTGGAAACCGCATTCTCGTGTATATGAGTAAACCTTAATGCCTCATAAGTCCGTCGGCTTTTTTAAAAGCCTGTGCTTGCCTTGAGAGACGAGATCTAAGGCTGTGATCTTTAACCGGATCTGACTGATTTGCGGCAGAAATAAGAGGTAATTTTCTACCATCTTAGATGCTGAGCATGTGCCCATTGAAACAATCTTTCGTCGAACACCATTATTGAGTAATTCTACTAACTTTATCGAAGCAGTGGGCAGCGGACAGCACCAGACGTTCCGCTATGACGGCGCCTCCGCAGTGGTGCTCGAAGATCAACTTGTCCACATCAAGCATCTGGATCTCGACCTGAAGACGTACATGGTCATACATTTAATGTCTGTTGAATTTAACCATTCACAGAAGACGTTAACAAAAAGAATGCTTTAAAAACGAACAAGGATAATACATTATTATGTATCCTCTAAAAACGTGTATTGCGTAAACGAAAAACCAACAGTGAAAGCGTCCTTAAGTTAATTCGTCACCGTTGAAATGTGTCACAGTTGACAGCTGTCAAACGCAAGCCAACATTTCGCGCTTTTGTTCACCGCGAATACCTGGAACTGGGTTGCGTTGTTACATCACCTTTTATATCGACGTAATAAGAAACGTGCTTCTTTTTTTTTTAGTACTTAGATAGGTGGTCGAGCTCACAGCCCCCCTGGTGTTAGGTGGTTAGTGGAGCCCATAGACATCTACAACATAAATGCGCCACCCACCTTGAGATATAAATTCTAAGGTCTCGAGTATAGTTACAATGGCTGCCCTACGCTTCAACCCGAAACGCATTACTGCTTCACGGCAGAAATAGGCAGGGTGGTGGTACCTACCCGTGCGGAATCACAAGAGTTCCTACTACCAGTAACAAGAGGTCCTACCACCAGTAGTTCCTAGCTTCTGTTGAAATATTAAGACGCGATTGAGCTGGTCGAAGGAGAGGAAATACACCGTAGCGAGTCTTGGAAATGAGGCCTAGAGTAATTATTATTGAGAGTGACATTTGCTTCTATCAGGATAAAAGTTGAATTACAGTTTGTATTAAACTAGGTAACGAAACTAAGTCTTCGATGGTGAGTCGCCTTGGGAAACCGCTAAAAGGCAACTAAGCCATGCGCTTTTCTGATAGTAAGACAATTGCAAACGGTAATTTGTTTTGCTTTCGTAAGCAAGTGTTTGTACGGCCCTTCTGCGGCATCTCCTAAATAAATAAGCTTAAGAAGTAAATTTACTGGTGGTATAACCTTTTGAAAGTCCGCACGGGCAGGTACCACCGCCCTGCCTATTTCTGCCGTGAAGCAGTAACGCGTTTCGGTTTGGAGGGTAGGGCAGCCGTTGTAACTATAGTGAGACCTTAGAACTCATATTATTAACTAAAGGCGGGCGGCGGCATTTACGTTGTAGATGTCTGTAGGCTCCAGTAACCACTTAACACCAGGTGGGCTGTGAGCTCGTCCAACCATCTAAGCAATAAAAAAAAGAACTAAGACAATTGCAAACGGTAATTAGATTTGCTTTCGTAAGCAGGTATGCGTACGGCTGCCCTGGAGTCAGATATCGGTATTTAAATGACGCTGTGATCTCAAGAACGGCGGGTTTTTTGTTGCTTCGACGTGTGAACGAGCTCACGGCCCAGCTGGTGTTAAGTAGTTAATTGAGTCCATGGACGTGAACGCCCCCGCCCACCTCAAAACTAGAGTTCTAGGTTACAGTTCTATAGTACGACATACGGCTACCTCAGTCTCTAAGGCAGGGGCTCCCAAACTTATAACGGTCTACTGCCCACTTTGAGAACAAATTACTTTTTAACGCCCCCATTTTTTCACCTATTTAAAAGCTACTATAGCAAGAACTCAGTCGGTGTCTAAGAGTCCCCTAGATAAAATTACAAATCGTAGCCTCTACATAACGCTTCCATTTTTTTCCTGGGTCTCTTACCGCTCCCTTTCAGGGCCATTATCGCCCACTTTGGGAAAGGCTGCTCTAAGACAAGGTAAATTACTGGAAGTATCGACTAAGGGAACATGACAGCGAGCTTGCTACAAGCGGGTGAATTTGCCCGTCTTTAAAATGTCGTTAGCGCGATTCAGGCATCTGTCAAATATCTTCTGCACTATGATAGCTACCACCTATAAGTTACCTAAATCAATTTGTAACAAGTATTCACGAATAGACTTGCAGGACGAAGGAGTTGTATCGATCTCAAATCAGAATTTAGATATGTAATTTTTAAAAAAATTGTATTACAATATATTATTTTGACTATAACGTCCATGCAACTTGGCATAGTTTCATTCGATTGACACGAATTATTTCGTAACTGGAATCTGGAAAATGTCCATGACCGTGAAAATCATAAAATGAAGTCAAGTATTATGAAAATTATGAAAAATAAAATTTAATTAATTAATTTATTAATCTAGTTAAATTTTAGGTAACTAAAAAAAAAAGTCGTAAAATTAGTTTTTATTTATTTATTGAATAGATGGGTGGACGAGCTCACGGCCTGGTGTTATTGGAGCCCATAGACATCTACAACGCAAATTCCGCCACCCACCTTGAGATAATATGAGTTCTAAGGTACAGCACAACGGCTGCCCCGCTCTTCAAACCGAAACGCATTACTGCTTCACGGCATAAATAGGTAGGGCGGTGGTACCTACCCGTGTGGACTCACAAGAGGTCCTACCACCAGTAAATTTTGAATAAAAAATAGTGTAAGAAAAAATGATTTTATTGTAAAAAAATCGTAGGATGCATGATATCAGTAGTTATAAATATTTTATGAACAGATATGAGTAGAAGGGTTATTTTGATAATATCCTGAAAAGCACCCCACGATTTTTTTAAATAAAATTATTTTGTTCTTATCGACGCTTGAAAGGCAAACGTGACTAAGCGACAATGCGTGAACTTTACAGTAGACTAATTTAAAGTTGAAATACCTGAAAACAAAATTTATTTTAATGAATCTAGCTGTAGTAGAATCTAGCTATTAGCTGTAGGATTGAAATTATTTTAATAGACCTAGAAATATATTTTTTTTGCGCATCGAATATGGTTATTGCCTATCATTTATGTACAAAGCAGTTATTGTCGCCTAGTCACGTTTGCCTTTCAAGCGTCGTTATACTATTTTTAATTCAAATTTATTAAAATTTATTTTCTATTTTTAGTTGGATTTTCTATAAAAGTGTATTTTGTTAGTTTTTTTAAACTATTATTTATTTTTACTGGTGTGTTAGTAGTGACGTTTATAAAAACGTTCGGGGGCATCCTCTACGTTAACAAGTTAATTGCCCTGTATGTCACCGGTGCCCTACGTGGCGCAGTGAAGTAATTGTGACGATTTTTTTCTTCGGTCTTTTGACTGAGGTCTGATTATCTAGTTGACTCTGGGAATGACGAATCCGAAGATACTGAGAATGAATCTTTTTAAAAGACATGACTACAACCATACAAAAGAAGGCAAAATTAGGTAATCCAGACGCCTTAGTAACAGAAATCGACATAATTACTTCAGTGCGCTGCGTAGGGCACTGGTGACCCACGCGGCAGACAACGGGTTAATAGTAGATTAAGTAAATAACTACACATTTAATGTACATTGTGAGTAAAATTATTTCATTACATTATAAGTTAGATAAGTTTTTTTTTTATTGCTTAGATGAGTGGACGACCTCACAGCCCACCTGGTGTTATGTGGTTACTGGAGCCCATAGACATCTACAACGTACAAATGCGCCACGCACCTTGAGATATAAGTTCTAAGGTCTCAGTACAGTTACAACGGCTGTCCCACCCTTCAAACCGAAACGCATTACTTCATCACGGCTGAAATAGGCAGGGAGGTGGTACCTACCCGTGGTAGGTAGGTAGGTAGGTGTCGGCATTTAGGTTGTAGATGTCTATGGGCTCTGGTAACCACTTAACACCAGGTGAGCCGAGAGCTCGTCCACAAACCTAGGCAATTAAATATATATATCGATAATAAACATCTTAGAAAAAGAGAAAATAAACATGTTTATCACACGAATGTTTGTCTGATGTGGGAATCGAACCTTCGGCGCGACAGTCAGGGGTGCTAAATATAAAATTGTTACTTATGTTAATATAGGATTTCAATATACATAGCTTTAATTTTATGTTTTGAAACCGTATTTGACAGACATCAAATCAGTTTGGCGCGTTTTTTTTTGTTTTTTTTTTTAATCCACAATTGAGGGAGTATTTCAGAGTAATTCAGCCAGAATACTCACTTGCCATGGAAACGCTCCATAAGGTGTCTCGGTGCCTCCTACTATCTTTCCCGTCCTTCCAGGGTTGAAGTCAATGGTTCTAGTTCCGCATAAAACCTTTCCCGGCTTAGCGTGAGCACCCAAAAAGTTCTGATTAAAATAATTTGTACTGAAACTGTTAAAAGCCTTCGAAGGGCGCGTTTTGTTCCTATAATACTCCATATGATTGATTTTATTGACGAAAAAATCGGCGTTAACTAATTTTAAAATGCATAACAACAAACACAATTTACGTAGCATTTTTTTTCTTTAAAACACAGACAGAAAAAAATTGGCGCCAAAATCACTCTTGAACGTCAAGATGACAGATTGTTTTTTTTTTTTTTGATACACGTTTCGAAGGATGCGTCCAAGCACCTCGCTCGCCGAGTACGATATGAGTTTGAATGTGGTTCGGATCGATTTGTTTTTTTTTAAATGTATTCAAGCAATGCCGTTTACAATGACACGTGCGGTGGTTACGTGAATACGGGCCAGAGACAGATCTCGAGATGTACGCAGGCCGGTGCCGCATTTAAAATATTCATTCATTTAAACATACTAATGTTCATTGAATAATTAAATTTCGACCATAATTGTCGGTACCTTAAGACTTAAATTCATTTTGATTAAAAAAAAATGCTTTTTAAAAAATGGGAAAGCATTTGATAGAGATAAATTGATACCTCAGTCGACTTGGCTCTAAGTACGTCATTACAGATCCTCCCAATCGATTAACGATGCTTTTAGGTATCACAAGCACCGGTCACCGTCCTCGTCGAAACCGTTATTTGGGACGAAGGGCTCGACTAGTAAATTAACCCATAGACACAGCCCACTGAGTTACTCGCCGGATCTTCTCAGTGGGTCGTGTTTCCGATCCGGTGATAGATTCTGCGAAGCACTACTCTTGTGCTAGTGTTAGCAACACTCTCGGTTAGAGCCCCGTGAGCTCACCTACACGTCAAGGAGAAGCTGAAATAGCCTCTCAAGACTCAAAGCATTGGTAGGGAAAAAAAAAGATACCTCACAATATTTTTTTAATAGATATACAAGATTTAAATTGACTAGCGCGTCCGATGCACACGTCTTAAATCCGAAAATTTCATTATATGATTTATTAAATATCATTAAAAAAAACATTTCGCGGTGGAGCGAATTGTGAATTCACTTGAACATAATTTAATTATATAAAAAACACATCAAAATCGCTCCGGCCGGCGCGTCCGACATACGCAGGAAATTTCACCTCAAAACAAGAGATTAAGTGACCTTTATCAATCCATCACGTTTTCATTGAATTATTACGCAAATGAAATACTCGTAGTAGCAAAACACAAAGAGATTTCAATTCACCATCTTTATTTTAATTTAGCTCAGTTTCTAACTTTTGACGTTTCAGTTCGTAAAGACAATAAAAAATCATACCACACATCAAACGGTTAAAGTTGATTTTTCATTGTAGGTACTTACTGAAACTTATAGGTTATGCGTGGTATTAATGTGAAAAAAAAAACCGAGAAATTTTAAATTTATTTCTGTCTGTATCTCTATATTACGCTAAAACTATACTCTATTCTATTATACGTCTCATATTCGAGTCATAATAACAAACGTTCAAACAGTTAAAAACATTTCATGTTGGTTTAGAAAAAACGCGCGCTTAAAACTTCGAATTAATTTTGGCGGGAACGCGAGAAACTAAGTTGTGTGTGTGTGTGTTGTGTATATGTGTTTTTTCGACGCAAGATCCTCTTTTAGTTGCCCTCCTGGTAGTTGTAAAAGTGCAATCAAAAAAGTAATAAACAAAAAAAGATACATTTTAATTAAAATATGACAGGACATCGAGGTTTATCATCACAAATATCTCATTTATTCATTGTTTAATCCGGTAACTCTGCGATTGCCGGTCCCAAGCTCGGATGAGGAAAGGGGAGGGTTGAGTTGGACTTAGACCTTTCCACCGTAAAATAACCAACGCCGAATGTCTGACGGTGGTTAATTAGCCGGTCCCAAATAAGATTTCAGCGACCTGAAAGACCTAATCCTTTTTTTTTATTGCTTATATGGCTGCATGAGCTGACAGCCCACCTGGTGTTAAGTGGTTACTGGAGCCCATAGACGACCACAATGTAAATGCGACCACCCACCTTGAGATATGAGTTCTAAGGTCTCAAGTATAGTTACAACGGCTGCTCCACCCTTCAAACCGAAACGCATTACCGCTTCGCGGCAGAAATAGGCGGGGCGGTGGTACCTACCCGTGCGGACTCATAAGAGGTTTTACCACCAGGGAAGACTAATCCCAAGATACTGAGAACGAATCTATTTCTAAGAGACTTGAAAGACTAAAACGCGAATTAACAAACAAAAGAAGGCAAAATTCGGTAATCTAATTAGCTTTAGTAACAAAAATTAACACAATTACTTCAGTGCGCCGCGTAGGTCACCGGTGACCTACGTGACAGTCAAAGGACTAAGTAGGTACGTGTTTCATTAGAAAAATCGGTATTCGCCTGCGGGCTTCTTATCCTCTAGTCGCATTATTCTAATGAACTAGAGGTCCCACAGTAGTCGAAATTCGACTATAATTAATTGGAATTGGAAGTTTGTACATATTCTATGATCACAAATTTCGCCAAGGCTACTATAAAAAAATATTAATAAAGACAAACAATATTTAATCTATTCTCTATTTGCAACAGACATCAAGAAGAAAAGTTTGACAATAAATAGTATGCATGCGTGTTGCGTCAAATACATGGTATGTAGTGTGTGTAATGTTTTCTTTATTGATTTAATGTATATTTTATGCATTATTTTAAACAAATATTAGCATTGTGCGCTTCTTCTCTATATTATCTATAAGTGTGGAAAATTTCATACTCCTCCGTACGCGCAATTTTCGTAAAAAGGGATACAAAGTTTTTGCTTCACGTATTAATATATAGATTAACAAACGAAAACAAACAAGATCAGTGAGTGAGTATAATCGCGACAACGCTCTTTTATTTATTTTTTTGAGTCAAAGTATTCATGTCATCGACCTAACTGCCGACACACCGACCCACTTTCCAAACTAGTTCATTGTTTATTGTAACAACGGACTGACGAACAATTTGGGCTGTGCGACAATGAAAATGAACGTGAATATATGGTTAGCTTAAATAAATAGATACTGTCGATTATTTTTTAGAAGTCGTCGTGGCCTAAGTGATAAAGTGTCCGGTGCATTCGTATCTAGCGATGCACCGGTGTTCGAATCCCGCAGGCGGGTACCAATTTTTCTGATGAAATACGTATTTAACAAAATGTTCACGATTGACTTCCACGGTGAAGGAATAACATCGTGTAATAAAAACTCAAACCCGCAAATTTATATTGCGTAATTACTGGTGGTAGGACTTCTTGTGACGCACGGGTAGATACCACCACCCTCCCTGTTTCTGCCGTGAAAGTAATGCGTTTCGGTTTGAAGGGTGGGGTAGCCGTTGTAACTATGCCAAGACCATAGAACTTATATCTCAAGGTGGGTGACGCAATTACGTCGTAGATGTCTATGGGCTCCAGTAACCACTTAACACCAGGTGGTCTGTGAGTTCATCCAACCATTTAAGCAATAAAAAAAAGAACAATAAAAAAAAACAATATAAAAAATAAACAAAAAAATAATTGGATTTAGCGTCATTTCGCTTAACACGCAACATTTATCTTTGTAATTAAAGGTGCGTTTTATTTAGTACCAGCATCAACAGTTCGATGTTTTTAATTGAACTTAAAATATGTTTACTCCATTCGAATAGCTCAAGAAGTTTTTTTGTTATGATATTTTTTCCAAAATTTAACGGACTGTAAATGGCTCTCCTGTTAAGTTGGAAAAATAACGCTTAAACCAAAGAGTATTTTACCCATCGGTTTGATTAACAAAACGTATATACTCGACGTTTTAGTGTATCTACACATTTCGATTGTGTAAATAAATAAATACAGGCGACGCGGGCAGCCATCTTGAAACATTTTATGTAACTGTCAAGTGTGTAAATGTAGCAGCCTCACTTTAAATAGGCGGCACGACATGGAAACCGCCGCCGGGAATTACATACCCGATCCTGTGGACCGAATGGTAAACAGTCGCTCTAAACACGTCATCACGGATCCTCCCGATCCATTAACGGTGCTTTTAGGTTTCACAATCACCGGTCACCGCCCTCGCCGAACCCGTCGCTTGCGACGAAGGGCTCGACGAGTGAATTAACCCATATAACAGCCCACTGAGTTTCTCGTCGGATCTTCTCAGTGAGTCGCATCTCCGATCCGATGGTAGATTCTGCGAAGCACTGCTCTTGCTAGGGCCAGTCTCCCGGTATGGGCCCCGTGAGCTCACCTACACGCCAAGGAGAAGCTGAAATAGCCTCTCAAGGCTATCAGCATAGGTAGGGGAAAAAAAATAACAGCTATTTTTCAGTAACAGTTAATCTTTTGCATTGGCAAAGTTGCGGTCCAGATTGATCTAAAGGCACGACAATTTAGAACCTAGAAGACTTTTAATGCTTTTAAGTTATTGGCAGGAAGGCGAGGTGCGAAGTTGAATTTTAAATTTTAATCACAGTTTTCTTTTCAACTGTTTTTTAAGTATGGCAATAGGATTCTTCGGATTCAATTTTTGCCAGTGTCGACTTTAAAACATCAATTATTTAAAAAACGGAAGTTTATCCTACAGATTGAGTACTTGATCTGTACGTCTTAAATCCGAAAACTAGTTACTGGTTTTTTTTTTGTACAAAAATATATATGATAAAATCTTTAGTAGTCAACCGCAAGGTGAGTCTAAGCCAATATCGAATCCACTTGAATACAACCAATAAACATCTAAATAGGTCCAGCCCAGATTAGGTGGACTTCAGGTAATAAACAGAAGATTTGTATAATTAAAGATAAGTATATCTTATTAAAGGTAAAAATGGCACGGAATGAGATGAAGTTTGGACATTTAACCTGGAATATCTTCTAACCGTTTGCAACACCCGCGCGAAAATTAATTCCCTAGAAATCTTCAGATTTAACCGTTAAATAAATCTCATGTGTACATGAAGCCTCAATGGCCGCAATTACCATCGCTATCTCGTATTTAAATTAATGAATTTTCACGGCTCTTCTTTATTGAGGTTAAGGAAAATTATATAGGTTAGAAAAGAAAAAAAAATGCAAAATGGCGATTTATTTCTAAATTCAAGCTATGGAGAGCTAAATTAGGGAGGACC